GTTATTTCCTTCAGGTGATACATTCGCGAGTATTTTGCTTGCCAGTCAATGATACTTAGTGTTCTTTGAGTTATGTTTCGTAAGTTGTTTAGCATATTGTCTACAATCTTCGATAGTTAAGTTTTCTCATTGAGTGTACTTGATGATATACTTGCTATTGAATTTTGTTGGATGGTGAATCCTATGTTTTCCAATGATAGTGATCTTGGTGGTTCCTATCCTATAATACTGATTTATCGAATGATAACTTACTTGGAATACTTTTGTGTTCTAATCTAAGCTTTATTCACTAATAATTAAGTCTCTAAGATATCATTGTCTCTGACTTTGATATTGTCCATCTATTGATCTTTGAGTTTGGGCCAGTAATATGCAGATTGGCTTGGGCACTTCGTGTGCATGGTGAAATCTCTAGTTATGGGGTAGCTACTGTCGACTGGTCATATAACCCACCTCTCTGTCGATGTTCCCTATTCTGTTAAAAGGGCGTGACTGTAGCGCACTTTATCTCTCTCCTCTTAAGCCAACTGGAAAAGGGGTAATTGCTTGATGAAAGAGCCCTTAGTGGCTATTTTATCCCTATTTATCCCCCAAAGTTCCAAAGATCCACGGTGACAGTATATCCAAATCTCATCCCATGATCACATGCGCTACACTCACCCCCCCTTCAGAGATGTCAATGTCCTCATTGACTATTGACTAACAACCCCTACTGAGCCAAGGGGAACCAGCACCTCCATTTCCGCACTGAATCTACCAATCCTTCCATTGTGTAGACCAGCTATTCCATGTGAGGCAACTAGTCATCCACCTGTACCGCAATCCCACGGTGGATACCTTCATTCGTGGATACTCCACACAAGAGGAAGGACATACACACGGATGCCCAATACGTACGATTTCAAATTTAGGGGTAGGAATATACCTTGCTCAAGGGTATATTATATTTTTAAGTAGCCACTAATTAATGAGAATCGAACCTGTGCCATTTTCTCTGATACCAACTATAACGCACGTGGTTTTTACCCTTTATCTTATAGTGATTTACCATAGGATAACACCATGAAGCGGAACCTAAACCCTCTATGTGCCACATGACAGATGCCATGTGTCACATGCCATGTGTCCAAAGGACAGTGGTGTGGAACTTGAGTTTCAGGGCCTTGGGCCACTGAACGAAGGAACGGTGCCAAACTCCCAAGCATGGAGCCAAGGAGTAACGAAACTGAACCATGGAGCAACTCCCGGGCATATAGCTCAAGGAGCAAAAAGACAGGAGCCTAGAGCGACTTGGAACAGTCATAGAGCAACTAACATCCTAATGCTAGGACTAGCACGCAAAACGGAGCCAAACGGAGTTTGGTGCTATTTCGGCATACCGGTGGCCTAACGTAAGGATATGGGTACTCCACCAGCTAGCATGGAATGGAACTTGGGCTTAGACCCAAGCCGGACGCAATACAAAGACAGGCATGCAAGCGGGAGCTAGACTATGCCTCAGGTTGGTCGGCCATACCCAACCTACCCACTATCCCTACTATACATTTGGAACCACCCCCCCCCCCCCCCCCCCCCCCCCCTTGAGGAACACATGCTTTGGGCTTTCACCCTAAGCTTCCCTTAGTATTAGGAGTTAGTCTCTGGGACAAGCTTGAAACTTACTAAATATGGAATGCCGCTATAATGCAAATTTGGACACGAGACGAACACCATTGTGTTCAAGCCAATCTCTACATTCCGTACATATGCCAAATGAGCAAATCTAGACACTTTCCATAATTAGTATTAAGGACTGGAATGAGACTAACACAAAGGGTATGATAGCGAGGGTGTTTAGCAGACACGGTAAGCTATCATCTAGCGATATTGTGGGACCAAGCTCAATATCGCGGGGGTTCCCAACACTAGCAAGTGCAAGTCAACATCATGAGTTTCTCATCACTGTATCAAGTCTACTTGACAAATGACAACTTATGATTTCCTTCCTTAGTGCCCTTCCGGTTTAAGTGCACATGTGATGACCAATTTCTCAACTAGCTCAGGTGGAGATTAATAACAAGTCCAGCAATACCGACCTCATACCGTCGTGGCAGTAAGGAAAGAATATCCGAAAGGACTAGCCGACAAGTAACTTTCGATACCCGAAGTCACATTTGTGACAACTAGCATGTATGATCCACCTCCAATGTATTGCTGGATAAAGTAGGGGCCGGTCCAACAAGGAGAGAACTTCGAAGGTGGCATGAACTCCTTGAATAGAACAAGATTGCCATCCTCAAATGGTTTAGCAGACCGCCAGTGATCAATGACTAACTTGATCTTCTGCTTGCCTCGAAAGAGATGTTCGGTTGTGGGTTGTCACTATTCTTCCAAGGCAAGAACTTCCAAGTCACGCACATGAAGCTTGTCTTCATCACTAAGCTGCATCTTTGTTGCGTATCGAAGCAAAAATGAGAGTGATGGCACCTAGATCTCCACTGGAAGCACAGCCTCTATCCCATAGACGAGAGAGAATGGAGTCACAGAGATGGATGTCTTAAAGGACGTCCGAAAAGCCCATAATGCTGTAACCAAGTGCTTGTCCCACTGCCTCGGATGATCCTCCGCAAGCTTTGAGATAATAGTCTTCAATATCTTGTTGCTAGACTCTGCCTGGCCATTTCACTCAAGATAGTAGTTGCTACTCTTCATGTGCTTAACCTGCAGCTGCTGGAGAAGATGCTGCATCACTTGTCAGAGGAAGCTGCTACCACGATCAAAAATTAGAACTACAGGAACTCTGAATTAGCAAATGATGTACTCATAGACAAACTTCATTCTAGACTGTTGATTTGCTTATCGTAGAGGGATGGCCTCAACCCATACAATTGTTGACCCTCAGGGGTAGAGTAAATGCCAACAACTTACGATAACCAGTAACCAATAACCCCTTGCTCTCGCTCCTATTCCAGCCCCAACTCTTGCACCTACTCCTACTCCAGTGCCTACTCCTGATTCTGCTCTTGCTCTTGTGCCTACTCCTACCACTTGAAGATTGCTTCTTTCTCACCAAAGTTTAGCCCAAAAGAGAAAAATGAATATCTTGGTTTTGATCTTTCACCATTTTGACTGTAAGTACGTTGGAAAGAGCTCAATCCCATCTACCACACTAATCCAAGAATTTGTAATGAAAATGCCTTAATATCCCGTGAGATCCAAGAAAACATAGTCCAAAACACCAATTTTGTGGGAAAACATTCGCATGTCACCAATCTAGATCGATATTAAGGTGCTGTTAGTATTTTTGGAAAGCCTATGACCAAAAGCACCTCCAAAAATAAATGGCATAAAAAAAAGAGTGGAGAAGCATGAATTTTTATTGCAAAGATGCCCCTATCTAGCCAGACAAGAAAATCCTTTTGCATGCCACTAATTCACTTAAATCTAGCACTAAAAATCACCTCTACTTGTAGATCCAAGCCAAATCTACAAACCCAAATGCACTACTTTGAGAAATTGAGCTGAGAATTTAGACAAGAAAAGAGAAACCCTAAAATATTCACTAAACTGAGCTAAGAAACATTGTATCTCCTCAAATACTACACAGCTTGATAAGTGTTATACTTTGCCGAAAAGAGGAGTTTAAGACCTATCCAATGCACCCAAGATCAAGCAAAACCATCAATTTAGGGTTTAGAGTTACAAGAAATTGCTTCTCAAATTCTATAGCTAAAAGGAAAAGAGACAAATGATGCAATAGAAAGCACTATGCATTATGTCAGATTCACCACATGTTAGGGGAAGGAGGGTTGCCTCCCCTAGCACTTGCTCAAACATAAAAAATGCTTCAATGCTCTTCACAATTTGCCCCCCCCTTCCCCTTGTGGGGCAAGGGTTTTATACAAGGAAGATGGGGAATATTCCAGAAATCAAAATATTCTCTCTCTCACTTATGCCCTAACACAATGGGATTTAGTGGTTGGGCCTTTAGGCCTTAACTTAATGGCAGTATTTACAAGCATGGCTATGGATGAAAAGGGACTTGGTAAGGATGGAAAAAGGGATATTAGGAAAGGGTGTTCTTTATGTTTCTAGACATTTTAAGGGTGTTAAGATGTGGTCAAAAGATGACCACTCATAGACAAATGGCCTAGTCTTTGAGAGATGGGACTGTGATACAAATGGTCTTGGATTACCAATGTGACAAAAATGAATAAGCATAGCTTTAATGTAATGGGTTGATATGTCAGTGGTAACTTTGGGTGTCAATCATGGGATCAGACATATAAAATATTTAGACTAAGGTTGAGTGGCATAAATGCTATTCATAGGGCTAACATGTCCCTAAGTCAGGAATAAGACCTATGGAGTTCGTGAATGAGACTCCTCCAAGTGGTCAAAAGTGTAGATAAGTGGCTAAAATAAAATAGAAAATCTAGTCATTTACAGAAAATTCTTTATCACTCGAAACAACAATACCACTTTCATTAATATACTTATCAATCTTTATAAACACTCTTTACTACCATATAGTGGCAAGAGATTGGTATTATTAACCCAAATTAAGTTTAATATCTATCTTTAGCCAGATGAACATAAAATAAAAACTCCTTGCTGATGATTCTCTATAAGTTGGTCTGGTTGACAAGAATGCCAATCTTTATCAACATCAGCAAACACATAATCAAGACTTATTGGAAGTTCATGAGCTTGACACATATGTGGAGGAGAACATTAAGCCCCACTCCTGCACCATCACCAAGCTATGAGCTTTCATTGCCACCACCTCTGCTCAGTCCACCAATCTATGAGTTACCCTTGCCACCACCACCAAGTTACAACCCCTGTTCCTGGCAACCTCTACTGTGCAGGGATGCAGGTCATCAAGGAACCCGTACGAAACACCTGCATTCCAGCTGCACCTCCAGCCGTTTGATGAAGGCGCACGACTACAAGTTACTGTGAAGGTATGACGAGTAGACGGGCCTAAAAGGAGAACGATGTGGCAATGACGTTTGTCCTTCGAGGGATCCATGTAAGAGTTTCTTAGAATCTGGAAAACAAGACAGTGTCCACCAAGACAAAGGAAAAAATAACTTCCCTGTCATTCTCATTTCTTGTATTGCACGGTGAAGTGCCTTAACCACAACTCGTACACCACCATGTGGAAGGCGTCATAAGGCCTGGGCGGTGTATGCCATTCAAATCTATCTTGAACCTGTCGAAAAAGGCTGGCAATAAGAACACGAGGAGAAAAAAGAAAGAAAGAAAAGAAAAACAACCTCAACGAGTCCCCTGTGCAACGATAAGTATTGTTCCTTGGAGACAGATTGGAGCTTCAACTTAAGATCGCCGACGTCCCGCTCTCTTAAAAGCAACGCGAATCTTTTCCAGTCTAGCACATCGTTGAAAGGAAGATCGTAATGGTCTGAGAGAATCACTGGTGTGACATGAAACGCGAGGTCAGGCGAGCACATGGTAGCACTTAGAAAGAAAGACCTGGCACGCATCCGTAATGTATAGAGTCGACGATGCGTGCGCTGTTGACTTGTGAGCCGCCAGGACAAATGCAAAATTTGCTCCTATAAAACTGCTTCTGGTACACAAGCTCTCCAGTGGCTCTGCTGATCCGGTTATTACTGATGGCTAGAACATCGTCCTCTTCCCACAGCTTGGCTAAAACCACTCGGATCTTAGAATTTCGATGACCGGCCCAGAATCCAAGAATTGTTCTGCGCAGAGTGAGGACCAGGAAGTGCATACATGGTTGAATGAATATCAAGAGTACCTGTTTCTGACGTCGTTTCCTCCTCGAGGTAAAGCGAATGGTTGCAAAACCTGAGGCATGGCAATGTCCTTGTGGGGAATGAAATCTCCATTGTAGCTGGGAGAACACACCACACGTATCGAGTTCTTGACCAGGTTTGCAACTTTGTTTGTGGCTCTCGCCCCGACGTCATGACAGGTTACAAAGAAGTGGTCTGCACCGAGCGTCCTGTTCCAATATGGATACTTGACGATCAAGCCTTCCACGTATTCCTGGACAATATCCGCCATCTTCTCGTAAGAAATTCCCTGCATTTTGTTCCAGTTTGAGGTAAGATAATCTCCAGCAATAGAAGAAAAAAATGTAAACATGGTACCTTTCCTCGCATCTTGTGGCACGAGATGGGGATGAAGAAGAGATGAGCCTTGTTCGGATTTTTGGTGACGAACTTGCTCTCTCGCAGGTTTTGGAAGAAATAACCTTCGCTAGCGTATTTGCCTGTGATTTTCCGTGGTGTTTGATAGTAAGTATTTGGATCACCGTCTGGATAGATGAAAATCTTGAACCTCTTCAACATTTGCTGATAATTCTTCTTGAAAATGGCAAAAGAGTGGAAAACTCCCGTTCCCACACCTGTCTCCTCATCAATGTCAACTCCGAGCTCTTCTCCTGTGAAATCCTCTTGAGTGGCTAATTCCTGCGTACTCAAATCCTCTACATTCGCCTTCTTCGCTTCTGTGCGACGCGCATCCACCTTGGTTTCCATGTCGTCTGGAATAGGGACCGGATCTGTGCTGCTGGCAGCGTCCTTTTCGTTTAAATCCTGAGATGCCGCTGGCTTCTTCAACGGCAATTCCGGATCTTTGAGCCTTGGCTTTGTCGGTGGAGGAGAATTCGTGCCTGCCGTCTTCGTGGGTGCCGAGCTCTTGAGCTTGGGAACTGCTTCTTTCCGATCTTTGCTTGCCTTGTCCTCCAATGCAGGTCCCTTGCTCGACTTGGGCGTTTCCTTGGCTTGCCTTGGAGCGGCCAGAGCTATAGATACCGGAGGAGCAACCGAAACCTCCACCTTGGTCTGAACCGGAACTTGCAAATTCCCTGTGATTTCACTCCTGACATCCCCACTGCCCCCTCCCCCCATGAACGACATGGGCAATGTGAAGACATAGTAAGCAAGAATGAGAGAAGACGCTACCGGCATGGCGATCCTCAGCAGGGAGTTACCCGTCGAACCGGAAGACGACGACATGGTTGCCTTCTTCCCCGGCCTGAGCTACCGTTTTGGGAACCTTATATCCCAGCCTTCCACATAACGTGGCTCGACTTTATCCGTCGATACCTGAAACACAAACGACTCAGATGAGCTCTTGCGATTGAAGGTTTGTACCTGGGTGGTGTGTCCCGTTTTAACAGAAATCTGAAGCTTATAGGAGATGAATCCCTTACAAGTCGGTAGCCCGTCATCTTCTGTCCACCGCGATAGGCTTGACCCAACGATTCTTCTCCGGTAGCAAATCGTTGTCTTGGTAGTGAATAGTGCAGCAGTTGCAATCATGACGACGCCAGTGATCTTGCATCAGATCAGCCCGACTTTCTATAACAAACAGTGGACTTCTAGGTGCGGCGGCAGCAGTAGTGTTCTAACCGGTGCATGGAAACAAAAAAGCTTTCAATTCGGTAGACAGCCAGAAATGAATAAGAACTAACCTTTCTTATTGAGGAGTTGATGCAACAACTAGGACTCGACTGTGGATGTTCCATCTGGAAATATAATCCTTTTGTGTCCATCTGGCCAGTGCTCTTCGATCTGGAACAAACTAAATTAAGCCTATACTTAGACGCTACTTAGACGCAAGCTAACTCACCTGGTTGTGCGGGAAGTAAAATATCTCGACGCCATCAGGCTTCGTGGTGTGCCATGTATCGATTTCCGAGTAGTAATATTCCGTAGTACCATCTGCAAGAGAGTTCTTGATATCTCCATTCGGAAAGTAAAGACAC